CAAGATTCAAAATATCATTTGCACGATAATTTATGATTCAAGGTGTTTGTTAACTCTAGTTTATTTATCTCTCATAATTTAAATAACTTGATCATCAATATCATATTTGCATTTTTCCTAACTTTTCTAAATGTACAGTTTTTTTTATAATTAATTTTACTATATAATTTGTTATTGATTTCATTTTAAAAGAATTATGTTAGTATTTTAATTTTTTATGTAATGAATTTTTCAATGGTCAACATAATATATTTTTAAGATGGATTTTAAAAAATTTAAGATGCTTCAACTATTATATATATTTAAAATATTTATTTTCAAATCAGATCATGAAAGGTGGACTTTTTTTAATGCAGTACTTATCCATTTCTTGCTCTAATTAATTACTTGACACGTCAGATATCTTTCGGTAGCTACAATTGACAAGAAGATTAATTTAATTATTAATATTAATTTTTTATTTTTATTTTTTGTATGAACAGCATATCCGAAAGCAACATCAACAAATGCACCAATAATGACTCCTCCACCAGTTGGTTATCCCACCATTAATGGCACTTCACCAAACCCTCAGGCAGCTTCTTTCCAGACCAAGTCTAGGGGTGATGGCTTTTGGAAAGGATGGTACCATCTCCCTCTCCCTCTCCCTCTCCCTCTCTCTATATACATATGGACACACACAAACGCACTATTTTCGGTCTTGCTTATAAGACTGAGAAAGACAATTAATATTCGATCCTCTACTTGTACGATGCTTAACTATTTTTTATATTCATCTCCACCTTTTTATCCATGTTTCATGTTAGGAAATATTATTAAAAATAATTTTTTTACCTTTATTAAAGATAAAAATATAAACTTATTAAATTTTAAGATAAATTCATGAGATTTAAGACTTAAGTTTCTTGGTTATGATAGTATATACTTTATGTGTCCCTATCATAGAACACTTTACAGAAAAATTATTTGGTTTTAATATATTGATGGCATATTAATTATAATTTTAATATCATTTATATTTAAATCCATTAATTACAAGAAATGAATCTACCCAAACAAAACTATAAAAGAGAATTTAATATAATTTAAAATTTTTATTTAAATAGAAATAAAATAAAATTATTTTATTTTTAAATATATTTAATAAATTATTTTTTTTATTTTGATAAATTAATTAGAGGTATTTTATAATAGAGATAAAGGAAAATGTGTGTGTATATATCACCACCTATTTCTTCATCTGGGAGATAGGGCTTGAAGAAAGAATAGATGATGATTAGGTTTTGGACAAATTTTTCTGAAAAATGATGTTGCAGACTGTAAGTTTATGAATGACAGAATGAGACATTTAAATTTCAAAATATAACTTTCAATTTTCTAAAATCTTTTTTCCGGAATGTAACTAATTATTCATTCGCCAGCTCTTCTGAGTCATCAATATCATTATCCCTTCTTTTAAATTGTCGGCCCCATTGGAGCAATTATATACTGACTTTTTTTTTGGATTATTTTTAAATTGCCCACTAAAATTGATTTGGTTGGCAGCATAAGGTAGAACTAATGGCTATTGGTTTGACCAATTTGATGCAGTTGTGCGGCATTGTGTTGCTGTTGTGTTTTGGACGCTTGCTTCTGAGGAGCCATATTATTTACGAGAGACATATATATATCATCTTTATTTGGTCATGTTTGGTTTCTTTCTTGAATAAATAAAGGATGATTGTAATGTAAACTAGATTGTTTTAGTTTCTAGTTTTTAATTTTTCATAGATTCATTGTTGTTGACTTGTACGTTGTTAGTGTTGTATAATAACCCATAATATACAATTCTTTTTATGCAAAGTGTCTTTTTTCTTCCTTTAGAAATGTTTGACCTGGGATTTAGATTTCCATTTATTGTAATTAAGATATAGTTTTTAATGATTTAACAATTACAATAAGAGCTATTTCCCTCGTGTTAGTTTCTTAGTTGCACAAAAAAAAAAGTAAAAATAAAAGAGTTTCTTATATGCTAAGAATGGCCACAGAGCTATTTACATGGTTTGGTTTGATAAAATGAAAAGAGAGCTGTATGGAGGAATAAATAAAGAGTCATGGTTGACCCCCACCAAGTGTAGCATAATAGAGGTTTGAATCTTTTAAGCATTATTTTAATTCTAAATTTCAATTCTTAAAATGTATATGTATGTAGAGTATCACATGGGAGATAACAACCTTAAATGGTGTACAGGTTTTTTGAGAAAGTAATTCTATGGTTGTGAACTATTGGGACACTTTGGGAAAAAAATCATGGTTGACAAATAGGGATGATTGATAAGTGGAATCAATTTTTTTTTTAATTTTGGTTGAAGAATGGTTTAATTTTTAAACATATTACATTTAACTATTACTCCCTCCGTTTAAAAAATAAAAATATTTTTTAAAAGAGTTGGATGTTTAAAAATATAAAATATTTTTAATTTTTCAAAGTGTAATCATTGTCTTTTTTTTTAAAGTGTCCCTGATAGTGAATTTATATTTATTATAGAGTATTTAATAGAGGTAAATATAAAAAAATAGTGTTAGTTTGAAAATAAGTAATTACTTTATTGAAAGGTGAAATTTAATTAAAAATGCTTTATATTTTTAAACAAAAGAGTATAAGTTAACTTTGTTTATGATCAACCGCTGTTATAGGCCATCATTATTAACAACTAACAATCATCACTATTGACAATTGTTTTAACTCTAAAATTATTTTTAAATTAACATAATCAAATAAATTTTCATTTTATTTTGTTTTGAAATATAATTTTTAAAAATTAGTTTACAAAATAATTTTTAAAAACTAAAAACGAGATGAAAACATAACAAGCCCTAAATTATATAAATGCTAAAAAATATATTTTTAAAAGGTATGAAAGGAGCAAGAAAAGAAATAGAAAAAATGATATAAAAATTCCTCCAAAATATGCAAATAAAAAAGAAGAACTCCTTCTATTTTCATATATAAGAGAATAAAATTGTATTACACAATTTAATAAAGTTAGTTAACTATAATAATTTTATTTAAAAATAAAAAATTGAACCAAAATATCCTGTATTAAGTAACATAATTATATATTAATTGTTTTTTGTTAATGTAAATTATGAGGGATGATTTAAAAAATATATAATAAATGGTTGTTAGAATGAATTATTTTACTTATAAAAACATATAAGCCAAAATTTATAGTTTATCTGACAATAAAAAACGGACGAGGGAGTACTGCAAATTGAGGTAATTATTTTGAAATTTTTATGGCCTTTTCTAACATAATTTATTTTGTAAAATTACGTATTGCCCAAAAGAATCCGCCCAGCTCGACCTCCTTCTGCAATGGAGCACCATCGACTTGGCCAACTTTGTCTTCTTCCTTGATAGCAGCATTCTACTCATGGACTACTTCTGCTTCTTCTCGAGTTTATCCCTGTACATTTTAGTCAGAAATTTCATTATACTCTCAACCTAGATGAATTAAATGAAAATCATGAATGAATCAATAGATCACAAACCGTTCATAAACCAATCACCAACAATCATAAAATCAAATAAAATGCATCAGGAAACACAAAATATAAACTGAATCTAAATCTAAATATGAATTGGAGCACGAATCATTGGAACAACAAAAAGAAGGAGGGTACAGCAAGAGGAGGAGGAAGACGACGACGTTCGCACTCGCAAAGAAGAGGACCTTTGAACTTGGATCTGCAAAAGAGAAGAGGGTCTGCAAGCGACATTCAAGTTGAGCCGACGACAGAGAGATATGAAACTAGTGAACCTTCACACCTTCAAATCTAAACACTGCTGCCATAGAAGACTGAATTGGCTGGCACTTCGTCGCAGAAAATCACCAAGCTAGGGGATTCTTTTGGGCAATACGGTAATTTTATGAAAAAAAATTATGTCAGAAATGTGCCCTTGGATTTCATAATAATTAACTTATCACGATATTTTTTTTATCATTTATATATTTTTAAAAGATTTTTGTGTCATTTTTTCAAAGAAATAAAAAAAATCAGGAAAATGAAAAAAAAGAGCAAAAGTGCAAAACTAAAGCAAAGTTCGATTCAGGGCACTTTTGTCTCTTGTAATATTGCCCTACATTTTCTTTGTTGCAAGATTTTATTAGTGTGTTTGCATTGAATAATTAATAAAAAATTATAATTGTTTGTTTTATTTAACCATTGTCAGAAAAAATATTTATTATTTAAATTAAAATAGTCATGAATATTTATAATACTTGAATTTCAATGAATTAAAAATTTACATAAAAAAAATTATAACTGCTAATTCTATTTTAGTCATTTATTAGAAGAAAAATTGTTATTGTGTTAAATTAAAGTAGCCTGACATTTACTTTTTTTGGACACGAGATGTTACTTTTATTTTTAATTTTGAATTGGAGGCATTTTAGTTATTTCATCAAAATTATTTATGCTAGAAAAGTCTCAAAGATTTGAGAAGAATTATGACACCATTTTTATTTGCATATTTTTGAAGGTTTTCCTGTTATTTTCTCTTAAAAGTAAAGTTGGATTCAGGGCACTTTTGCCGCACATAGTATTGTCCTTGATTTGCACTGGTGATGAAAGCCAGGTTGTGTGTGGTTATTAGTAATCTCTTATAGTATTGTCCTAAATTTTCTATGTTGCAAGATTGTAATATTAGTGTGTTCGAATTTAATAACTGATGATTCCTGATTTTTCTATCTTCCCTTAAAAAAAGTAAAACACATGTAATAAATTAAACAAACTTCCCAATTTCCACTCTCACCATTGCAATTCACACTAAATATAGCATCTGCTAAAATATGCAGACTTGCAAACTCTCTTTCCAATCTTTTCTCACCCAAATCACAAAAATTTTCCGTCATTTTCCCCTCAGAAAAATTCAACCCAACATGCCAAGAAGTCAAATCTGATCGATATCACATCAAATCAATAATCTGAGAATTAATTGAACGAACAACAACAACATGCCTGCAAGCAAGCTAAGGAAGGCCCTTGGTGCAGTAAAAGATCAAACAAGCTTAAGTCTCGCCAAGGTAACAAATGCAGCAAATCTTGAAGTTGTCATCCTCAAAGCCACCACGCATGATGAGATTCCCATTGAAGATCGTTTCGTTAATGAAATTGTGGTCTCGTATCATCCAACAAGCTTTATGCAGCAGCATGTGCTCAATCCATTGGCAAACGCATTGGTAAAACCAGAAACTGGGTTGTTGCGTTGAAATCTCTCATGATCATCCTCAGAATCTTTCAAGATGGTGATCCTTATTTCCCCAGAGAAGTCTTGCATGCAATGAAACGTGGCTCAAGAATCCTAAATCTCTCAGGATTCAGAGACGATTCGAGTTCGAGTCCATGGGAATACACTGCTTTTGTCAGATTAATGGCTTTGTACCTTGATGAACGCTTGGATTGCTTCTTAACAGGAAAGCTTCAAAGAAGAATCACATTCAAGAATCAAAGTCCTTTCAAGAATCATCATCACAAGATGTTTAATGATACTGTGGGAATCAAAGACATGAAACCAGCAATGTTGCTTGACAAGATTACTTATTGGCAACGCTTGTTGGATAGAGCTATAGGAACAAGACCAACTGGGGAAGCTAAAAAAAATCGTTTAGTTCAAATCTCTCTATACGCTGTCGTTCAGGAGACTTTTGATCTCTATAGAGATATCTCTGATGGGCTTGCTGTTATTCTTGATAGCTTCTTCAAATTACCATACAAGTCATGTCTCTCTGCATTTCAAGCTTGTGTGAAATCTTGCAAGCAGTTTGATGAGTTAGGTGATTTTTATTCATTTTGCTTAAGCATTAGGGTTGGTAGGAGCAGTGAGTATCCTAAAGTTCAGAAGATATCAGAAGAACTCATGGAAACATTACAAGAGTTCTTAAGAGACCAAGCTACAACTAACACTAACATTAATGTCAGTGGTTATAATCATCATCATCATTCTAAATCTTCTTCTTCTTCTTCTGCTTCACAATACTTACCACTCTCAAAACACTTGCTGGTTTCTGCATTAAGGGAAAGTCCAGGTATTCATTATGAGAGATATGGGACACCAGAGCGTTACTTTGAGACAGAATCTGAACATGGATCATCTCATTGCACATCATTAGAGGATTTAATGATTGCTACCGATGCTGGAACGTTGACACCAAGGAGGTTTGAGATAGATTATGGTGATGATGATCAAGTTGAGAAGCAATCAAGAATAATAATGATGATGATGATACATCTAGTTCTTATGAGTCTTGTTCAAACCATTCTTACCCTATTGATCAAGCAGCTTGGTCTTGTTTAGACCTTGTGAGTCTTGATGAGGTGCAAAACGAAGGAGAAAAAGAAAAGCGAGCAAATAATAATTCATCCCAAGATTGTTGGGAGCTAGTTTTGGCAGAGACAACAAGTACTACAACAGAGAAAGAGAAGTTTGATCAACCTAATTCAGTCCCACATCATCACTACAATCCTTTTCTGGAACTTGATGATGCAACTGTTTCTCCTTGTATCACTACTACAGATCAACGACAGACAAGTTTGATTGATATGTTTGATGGGGAAGAACTTGGGTTACAAGCAATGGTTTGAAACCAACTTTCACTGCTCAAGGTTCTAATTTTGAAACAGATTTGACATCAATTTTTGGTGACTTGAATTTGAACACTACTTCATGTGCAATGCCAACAAGCTTTAGTTCACAAGATCTTGCAGAGAATAATAACATGGCTTTGGTACCAGCTTTTCAAGAAAAAAATAATCTTCCTCCTGAGATGAATAATTCTGCTTCATTGTTTCAATCTCAAGGTTCATTTAAGATTGGTTCAACGTCACCTTTTGAGGGATATAATTCATATCAAATGAGTGCAACACAAACATTGAATTCTCATGATTCTTCATCTCTGACAAGCATTAATGCATCAACTTTTACTTCTCAAGGTTCTTTCAAGACTGATTCAGCATCATCATCAACTGCTTCTTCTCAAGGCTATGAGTTATATCAAACAAGCATGGCACCAACTTTTAATTCACAATGTTCATTTAAGATTAGTTCAACATATCAGACGAGTACAAGACCAACTTTCAATTCTCAAAGTTCATTCAAGTTTGGTTCATCAACATCAACTTCTCAAAGCCATGATTCATATCAAACCAGTGCAGAACCAACAATTGCTTCTCAAAGTTCATTCAAGCTTAGTTCAACATCACCTTATGGCACAGAACCAACCTTCAACTCTCACAGTTCCTTCAAGAGTAATAGTTCAGCATCAAGTTTTCATGACCACGATTCATATCAAACGAGTACGACACCACCGTTGAATTCTCAGAATTCCTTTAAGATCAGTTCAGAATCCACTTCTCAAAGTCACGAGTCTTATCATTCAAGCATTGCACCTACCTTTTATGGCCATAATTCACATCAAACAAGCTTGGAGTCAACTTTTCAAGGTCATAATTCCTATCAGGCAAGCATTGAACAATCTTTCCAAAGATATACTTCTTACCAGGCAAGCATGGAACCGACTTTTTATACCCACATAAATTCCAACCAAGTGAGCATAGAACCAACTTTTCAAGCCAATAATTCATTTCAGACAAGCAATAGACCAGTTTTTCATGGTCATACTTCATCTCAAAGTAATACAGAATCAACTTTTCTGGGTTATAATTCATATCTGACAAGCACAAAACCACCCTTTTATGGAAATAATCCATGTCAGATTAGAAAAGAACCAGCTCTTCTTACCCATAATATATATCAGACCAGCACAACACCAAGTCCTACATTTAGAGGACAAAACAGTTATTGCCAATGGTAGAAGCAACGCCAACCATTGTTGCTAATAACCCTAATAACGAAGCTCTGGTTCAATCAACCTTTTGGGAGCAAAACTTCCAAAACACAATGGCTGAACCAACATTTCGTGCAGACATTTCTAATGGGCCTTTATTAGAAGCATCAAAGGAAGATGATCCTTTTGGATCATCATGGCCAAGTTCTTTGACCAGGAATGAGGATGATGCCATCAACAAATCATCAATGCAGAAACTAAGTTTAGAGCAACAGAAGCAGATCTGGTTGGAGCAACAAAAAAGGATCATTGAAAAGCATTTGAATTGAATTTGTAGAAATTTATGTGATAGTATTAATAAATATGATTATGTTTATGAATCTAATTTGATTAGCTTTCTCCTTTGGTTCGCTTTCCTTTGCGTCTTGTTTATGTTATGATTCTTTCTTTCCCTTTTCACTACAAAAGAAATTGGCAACATTAATGAAATTACACAAAATTTGCTTAAAAAATATTCCCTCACTAATTCTATAACTGTGACAAAATCATCAATATATAATGGAGTTTTTCGTTATTGATCCATTGAAAAATATTTAATGGACAACCTACTCTACTTTTTGACATAAATTGATTCCCTCATTAAAATTTTTGGGGCTATATCCCTAAGCAATTTTTTTTATGAGTAAAATCACCATTTCATCAAAGACCTACCATTTTCTCCATTATTTGGTAGCGTGGAATAATTGTGGGGGCCACATATAGTAATAGCAAGATATTCTAATTCATTTTGACCATTTGACATGAGCTAAAGGGGCTGAAAATGGTGGTGGCAAGAACCGGACCTAATTTTAACAATGAAATAGAGGCAAAAATTGGTCAAAATGCCTTGTTGTCATTGCATGTAGGTCCTACAATTATTCCATGTTATTAGATAACCAAAAAGATGACAGATCTTTTATGAATGTATGATTTTGCTCCTGAAAAAAATTATTTAGAGGATATTGCCTTATGTACAAGGTAAAAATTTAGGGAGAAATGATTATTTAACCCATATTTATATTATAAGTTAAATTATGATATATTTAAATTATAATTTAATAATTTCATCATTTTCAACATATGTAAAACCTCATGAGATATTGATCCGAAATTTTGATTGAACAGTTAAGAGGCCAATGAGATGAATCATGAATCCATAACTTGATGATGAGCCAGTAAATCCGACCAACCAAGTGGGTTAACTTGTTTACCAGTAAAAAGGTGGAACAATCAGAGATAGAAGAAAAGCCGAGATGCCAATGACCAAAGGATGAAGAAATGGGAAGAGATAATCAACATGAAGAAATGGAAGCATCAAAAGGTAAAAGAACAAAAAGAAATATTCAAAACAAAAAAAAATAGAAGCAAAAATAAGAAGTTGTTAGCCCAATTTTTGACAATCATTTTAAAAAAAAAAACGGTGTCATGCTTTCAACAAAGAAATGTCATATTGGAATGGTACAAATTGAACTTTTGAAAATGATTTTTCAAGAAGAACCGCATCAACCCTTCTCACATATAGCGAGTTGCTTAACTTTCATGAAGAAAATTTGACTATTAAGCAAGATCAATCATTCTTGGGTACAGCCAGTTATATGCGAGATTTCATTCTATACGTGACTAATCATTTTAACTAGTTGTCAAAACTTCTCAAAAAGAATCCACCATCTTATAATAGTATAGGTCAAACAAAAGTAGTTCATTACTTTAAACTAATTACTTAATATTTAGGGATGGGAATATATTAGGTCCTTATTACGGGCCTACACCCTGATTTATTTCAAGCCCAATCTAACTTATTTATTAAATAGGCTTAGGCCAGGTTTAGGCCTTTAATTAGACTTATTTAGTTAAATAGGACAGGCCTAGTTTTTTAAGGCATAGTTCACAAGCTCAATATGTCGACCTATTTACACACACACTATATATTATGTAATATATCACACATACATTAATTTCACCATTTGATTTTTAATCAATCTATTCTTTTTATTTCTAGTCATACTTTTAATTATATTAGACTCTATATATTGATTTTAATGTTAATGTTATTTTATTATTGTATTATATTGTAGTTGATTAGTCATTTTAATTATTATATATTGTAATTGATAAATCAGGTTATATATTTATGAGTTAAGGTCTAATTTTGCTGTTGTACGTATTTTTAAGGAGCGCTTCGCACCCTCTACTTTTAAGTGAGATAATTTTACCTCTGAACTATTTTTCCAGAACCAAAAACCCCTTCCGTTAATGAACCATTAACTCTACCATTATATGCTGACGTGGCATGTGTATGGACCCATGCAGAATAACAAGTAAGACTCTAACCATCTCCTTTAGTACTCATTTGCTCTTGAACTCTTTTCAAGAGCGCTAAGTACCTTAAAGTATTTTTTCAAGAGCACTAAGTATCTTAAAGTCTTGTTAAAATAAAATTTAATAAATATTATTAAAATATTAAATATTTTCATATTTAATAATTTAAATATTATTATTTAAAACATTACACCACCCAATTTTATATTTTAATATTTTTAATATTTTGCAATTTTGTATTAAAAATGAAGGGAATGAACCTCCAAATTAACAAAGGAATTTTTTCTTCTCGTTTCTTCATTTTTTCTTGTTAAGTAACTTTTTCATAGTATATTAATGGAATAAGTGATATCTTTCAAACAAATATTTTTGTTGTCATTTTGTTAGTCCTGATTGTCACATTTTTAATTTTAAAAACATTACACGATCCAATTTAATATTTTAATATTTTTAATATTTTATAATTTTGTATTTAAAATGATGGGAATAAACCTCCAAATTAATGAAGGAATTTTTTCTTCTCACTTCTCTATTTTTTCTTGTTAAGTAACTTTTTGTAGCATATTAATAAAATAAGTGATATCTTTTAAATAAAAATTTTTGTTATTATTTTGTTAGTCATGATTGTCATATTTTCAATTTTACTCCTAACACTGCAACGTATAAAAAGCATTAAATTTGGGCAGTGTAATATTGTAGAGGAAGATTCTTAGTTGACTAAAAAAAATTAAGGAACTTAACCAATATTAAAAATATAAGTAAGTTCTGACACGTACAAAAAGTGTAACAATTTGGACATTGTCTTGAAAAGAACATTGAAGAACAATATATAAAAAATAGAAAGTTATCTAATGCTAGTTTGAGTTGTTAATATTTAAAAAGTGATTTATAAATTTTGAATGAATATTTATAAATAATAATATTTAAATTATTAAATATGAAAATATTTAATATTTTGGTAATTTCTATTAAATTTTGCTTTAATAAGACTTCAAGGTACTCAATGCTCATAAAAAAAGATTTTAGAATGCTCAGCGCTCTTTAAAAAAGAGTTCAGGGGTAAATTAGTATGAAAAAGGTCAGAGTTTTACCCATCACTGTGCGTGGGCCCCACGCATTGCTACGTCAGCATATAACAGCAAAGCTAATGGTTCATTTTGCTCCTCAAAAAAATAGTTTAGGGATAAAATTGCTCTACTTAAGAGTATAGGGTGTCCAGTGTAACATCCCGAGTTTTAATTCCCTGAATAATTAAACCTAATTAGGGTAATTAAGTAAGTTGAAGTGGTGTATGGCTAGAGAGGTCTAATAATCATATTTGATGGTATTTCAGTCCTAGTTGTGGGTCCGGTATCGAGGCAGGCCACCTGAGCATCAAAAGGAGAAAAAAAAGGAAGAGTTGATGTTGCTATGTCATACGTCGCGGTGTGGAGATCGTCCGCCGCAGCGCACAGACGTTTTTGAACGAGGGAGGACCTCTCTGTGCCATGCATTGTGGAGCATTGTGTGTCCGCTACAGTACATGGCTATTTTCTGCAGCTTATTAGATGCGAAATGAGACAGAAATAGAGAGAAAGAAAAAAAGAAACGGAAAGGCGCGCCAATGCTCTACTAGGGTTTACTTGTGGATGACATTGAGAGTATTTTGAAGTTTACAAACACTCAAGGTAAGTATCGCACTCATTAATCTCCTCATTTCTTCCACCTTTATGAGTTTATAGTTAGGGTTTGATAGTGGAAGTAAAATTTCGGTCCATATAGGTTATGGGTCTGAATTTGTTGACTCAAATGGAGTTAATGGGGGTAGATTAGAGTATCTAAACTTAGGTATAATGAGTTTTGGTGTCTTGGGTTGTTGGGCACCATTAATCCAAAAATCTCATTTATTATGGGTGGTTGAAAGTCTGTGATGCCATTAATGGAGATTTAATGACTCATTAATGCTATTGGGGGCTAAAGGTAATTATTAAACTCAATGGATAGGCTCCAACTCTTGTAAAGTGAATGTTGAGCAATTTAGAAGTAGAGATTGAGGGTTCAAATGTTTGAGTTGGTTATGTTGATGGAATTCAACTTAGTTGATTGTAGTTTTGGCTCTTGGTCACCTATTAGATTTGAAATTCAAGCTTGGAAGCTGGTTGATTGAGGGATAAACCTTTGACCTCTCAAAGGTTTGAGGGAACCGGAGGAAACTCTACTTTAGGTAGTTATATGTTAATTGATTATTAATTGGTTATTAAATGTGAATTGTGAATGTTACATGTATGGGATTGATTTTTGAAGAAAAACTATATATTAGTTTCAATGAGTGCATGAAAAAGCTATTTTTGGCTTGAAAATGCAAAATGCGAAGTCAAGAGGATTTTAACTATGAATATGCTTAGGTTTTTGGAAAATGAATGTGATGATGTGTAGAGGTATTTGTGTGTTAATGAGAAATGAATTTTGAGAAATGATGAGAATACACACTTGGGTAGCGTATGGTCGTGGGCCCAACGTAATTGTTGTAATAATGAGTATATGAAAGCAAAAAAGTGAAAACAAGTGAGCATTGATTATGGCATGATCAGTGGCGAGAGTTCACCTAAGTATTGGGAGTAGAGAAAATCCATATAGTATTTAGGCTGCCTTCCGGTGCACGGGGGTATAGCCTTGTCTCATAGTTTGTTGAGGAACTGTCCCATAGTTTATCGAGGTACTAGAATCTAGCTATCTCCACCGGTTCAATGAGGAAAATAGCTTAGGGTATGAGACACCCTATGATCTTTAGCCGGGTCACACCTCATGATTGGTGAGCTTGGGTAGTCCAGTCACACGGACGAAGACCTAGTCAGTGTTATAGCCCACGGTTTCAATTGAGGAAATAAGGAGGATATAAGGTTGGTTGATCATTGCTTAAGTAAATATATGATGTGTCACACGTGTTAAGTGGTGGCAAGTCGCATGAGTATGGGTCATGTCACATATATGA